AATCTTCGTAAAAATGTCATTAATCATTACATTAAACAGAATTGGACTGCTAACGCTACCCTGAGGTATTCCATTCTCTATTGTATGTATCTGAGAAAATGCAGTACCCACTCTTACTTGTATAGTTCTATTGAACAAGAAATTCCTGATCCAGTTATATATTCTTCCTTTAATTTCCATTCTATCTAATTTAATTAAAAGTCCCTCTTTCCACATCATATCATATGCCTTTTCAACATCAAAAAATACCCCAACTAAAGCTTCCTTTTTTACCTGAGCCTTTCTTATTTCAGATTCCAAGCATAGTATAGAGTCCATTGTATTACGTCCTTTCCTAAATCCACTGACCGGAAGCCTCGTAGCCTACATCCAATTTGAAAATGACCGCACCCGCATTCTTACGTTAAAACTACGGTGGATAGCAGAGTTTGAATGGCTGCAGTGGGTATCGTGCACAAATGCTATGAGATATACACGACAATTAGTGGAGTACTGTTAGCTATACAAGAGTTAGCTAAGTTCATGTGCTCGAATTTAATTCAGCAAAGCAGCCTTCCAAAAGTGATTATCATTCCATTTCTGCGTTCAGACAGCAGTCTGGGCAATAAAGGTGGAGATATTCTGCTGGTTTCTGCATCTTTACTCCAGTAGGGGACGATAACTGACCATTTTAAGTGAGTCACTGAATCGTTGATTCATTCAAAATCATTCATTCATTCAGAAACGCGACGAGCTTTGACCGTGGAAGGTGAACTAGGCCTACTTTCATAAATGTAAGTAGAAAAATGCTGAGTAACCTAATATATTCAGTAACAAAAATGTTACTATTAATTTATTTTTCTTTTAGGCTAGATGTTGTTCAAAAGAATCACACTTACAGTAGTGCTTTTGCTAATCGGAGCTATACAGACAGCGCTCTGTTTGTGTGATATTGCTTAAATATGAATAAAACAAATTTAATTCAAACAAATAAATAAATAATGTTATGTTCAAGCCATTTTTCGTTTGATATAGGCTTTATTTAATTTCTGGGGCTTTATTTAACCCTGGCTTTCTCACACTGACACACTGACCAGTAAGGCAAATTTCTATAGGAATGGCCTGGCAACCACACATAACTCCAACAACAACAGACAACACATTTGTAATGCCATTAAAGCATCCATCAACACCTTAGTAATGGATTCGCTAATACTACTGTGAAATATTGTTCAGAAACCCTAGGCGATGCCTATATATTTTACTTGAGAAGTAAGCCTATTAAAAGCCCTTTCATACAATGCTACCTATACATAAAACATTTTGATCACTACAGCAAAGTCTAGGTTTAGAAATATAGAAACTGAGAGTTGTTTTGCTAGCTGTTTGCTTTTATTCTAAGACGTTCCCTCAAGTGAACTAAGCAGGTGGTCATAGCAGCCAGATATGACTGCGTTTACCCGTAATTGTCTGTTCCCAGCCTCGGTAAGTGGGTAGAACCAGGTCTCCAGTTTCTCCTCTCATCAGGCAGCCGCTGAATGGACTTCCGTGCTTGACGGAGCTCGAATAACCTGTGGCAGATTCAGACAGGTGAGAGCCAGGTAACTGCTTCCCTTTTGTGCTTTAAAAGATTGCCGATGCTTGGATAGTGTGTGTGTGTGTGTGTGTGTGTGTGTGTGTGTGTGTGTGGGTGGGTGGATATGAGATTGAGTGGGGAGCCTTTGATCTTCAGGGGCAGGGAATGGGGCAAATCTTCCAGCGGTCCCTGTAGCTCCAGCCGTATAGGTAACCCAACCCTGTTTTGGCCTCCGACTCAGCGAGCAGGTGCCCAGAGGTGGGAACTGTTTGCAGAGCTGTGTTTGGTGACGTCTAACGTCTAACTTTCAACTTCTCCTTTACTGCCGGCACATTGTTCACAAATCCCTGCTTTTCAGCATCTGAGCTTTTCAGAGTTGCTTGTTCTTTCTGTTTTGCTCTTCAGGAAAAATAGTGAGAGCAGATTTCATTAATGCTGTACAGAAAAACATAAACCTCACAGTCACAAAGCACTGCAAAAATGTTGCCTTAGTATGTTCTTTAGCTAGTTTTCCAGTAAAATGATCTAAATATTGTATTTCTTAGATCTAAATAACGCGATTTACTTAACTAGTAAAACTGAATATTCTTTTTAAAAGTATTTTTTATGTATGCGTTTTTTTTTTATAGTTTAAGCATAAATCTAACAAAATGCACTGGGGTTTATGCTATCCTTAAAAATGTAATTGATAAATATATAAATGATAATTTTAATATAATTTAAAATGTAATACTATATAAGCAAGATATGTAAGTCTTAATATATTTTGCCATTCTTTTTAATGTCTCTTGTGTAAAGGCTGTTTAGATATTTTTACTGTAAAAAGACAAATATTGATTTATAAATCTTTGCAGTGGAAAAAAAAGGGTTTAAACATTTTTACAGATATTGCTCAAATAAAAATTAGAGGACAAATAAAATATGATTAATATTTCACTTGTTTCTTCTAGAGAGAAATGAGATTAAATAGAGAAAATGGAAACATACTTAAAAATCATGCTTTCAAAAAAAAAAAAAAACCCTGAAGAGATTAGTCTCACACAAGTTTGCAATCAAAACTCAGATTTTTAAGATTCAATATCAAAACTCACACGTTTCTCATTCCTCATGACCAAATTACCTGTGTTCACATTCATTTTACAGCTTATTTCTACTTCTATTAAAAGACATATTAGGGAGAAAACATACATAAATGAGAGCTCTGTTAAGACAGAACATCCTTTAAGCAATTACATTTTCCTCTGGGTACAGGCAATCCTCATGTCTTATTTATTGAATCTTTCTTATTCAGCATCTCTTACCTTTCATCACTTCTTGCATGACACGACTGGAAACTGAACTGACATAAATTAAACCTCAGAGTGAGGCGAGTATTGCATGTTTGTGGATCTATATTGAGGCTCTCCTCAGGCAAAGCAATTACCGCAATGAGTGCTTGCATGAGAATTGAGCTCTTGATGGTGTTTGTTGTGTGAAAGGTCGACCGATTTGCTGGTGTGTGTGTGTGGATACTGCAGAGATAATGTGCAGCAATGACTACAGTTCTTTTTTTTTTGGAGGGAATGCAACAAAGGCTCCACAGAAAATGGGCTCAGCTGAGGAATTTTAATGAATTAATGGAATTCATTTGAGCCCATTGTGAATGATTCTAAATCAGATGAATGAGCAGCACTGGAGATCTTCATGCTGGACTGCAATGTTGAAAGCATAATAAGCATCAACTACTAGAAAGAGATGTTGAAACAGATGGGATGACTAAGATTAATGCAAAACAACTGAAGCACTCAAACTAATGTTATTTGATTCTCAGAAACTGGCCACAGTTTTACAAAAGGAAATGTGTCACGCTAACAATCAAGACCCCCCATGAACATAACAAAAACAAGCCTAAAAATAATAGAATGAAGCAGAACAAGAGAGAGGATAGTGCTTTGGGCACTATACTACGCAAGATCCATAATGGGATTTTTTCCAGAAACCAATGCCAACATAGTAGAAGATGATCACAATAACACAAATATTGCATCCTTTCACAATTCACATTGTATAACATCATGTGCTCAACAGTACAGTCACAGTGAAAGTACTTAAAGTGTTTTACAGACATTTGGAGCCACATCTTCCACAGCTTCTGGAAATATCCTGGATATTTCCTGGAAGCTTGTATGTTGTGGTACATCTCTATAGTGTTTTTCTGAAATGTTTAGGTAAAATTGAGCTGTTGCCACTGTTAGGACCCTTGACGGCAATCGATCAGGAGTTCCCATGATCCTTTGAGACATAAACAAATAGTATTTATTACCTAGCGAACCGGAAAATTCCATTGTCCACCTTTCCAATTGAAGAAACAGTACAATTCATCATTGTACCTTCCACTAGCTAAACTGAGACCCACCGAACAAGCCATGAGAATGTCTCTCGCTCTGTATATTCATGCCTCTTGCGGTAAAGAGACACCCCGCTGTACAAGCTAGGACAGCAAAGTAGTAAATCTGTAGTTTGTTCGGCTGAGCATGGTGTTGAGGGGAGCCCACAGCTTAACCCAATTATTGTTGTTGGGGTTATAAAACACCATATAAGCTTTGCTCCGAGAGAAATGGAGCGAAACGACATTCACATATGATTTATATGGAGCAACGGCAGGTTCTTCTGCCGGTGCTTGACAGCTAAATTTGCGTTGCAGGATCTAGGGGAACTTTCCACGAAAGTCTGGATTGAAGCAGTTGTAGACAAGTAATTGTGAGGGAAGGATTGTGGTAGCTCTAAAGGTATGAAAATGAGATCTCCACATACAGCATACAGTCCCCCCTCTCAGAGTTCGGCTCTCCTGCTTTCTTCCAACCATCCACTCTAGCTGCCTGAGGCAGAAAGAGCGCGCGAGAGAAAGTAGGAGGAGTGCTGTGCCAGGCAGCCCCGCCCTCCAAAAGCTCCGGCCAATCAGAGGAGTGCTGCAAGCTTCTACTACAATAAAGTAATTGTGAGGGAAGGATTGTGGTAGCTCTAAAGGTATGAAAATGAGATCTCCACATACATCATACAGTCCCCCCTCTCAGAGTTCGGCTCTCCTGCTTTCTTCCAACCATCCACTCCAGCTGCCTGAGGCAGAAAGAGCGCGCGAGAGAAAGTAGGAGGAGTGCTGTGCCAGGCAGCCCCGCCCTCAAAAAGCTCCGGCCAATCAGAGGAGTGCTGCAAGCTTCTACTACAATAGGTGAATGTCTCCTAAGTGAGATGAGACGAGAGAGAGAGAGAGAAGACCTGTGTAAGCCCCTGACTGACTCATTCACCCATGGGAGTTTGAAGTGACAGAATAAATCTACAGAGACGAGGCTCAGGATAACATTTCAGAGAGCTGAGAGCGGACAGACACATACACACAAACAGAGCTACAGCTGAGTGAGACTGCAGAGAGACAGACAGACATACAGCTCACCCACAGAAAGACAAAAGTTGGAGTCATTGTCATGTTGGTGGTGTTACTGATCCTGCATGCCATCTCGTGTGCCCATTCTCATGGGCCGCCGGGTGCCGCCGTGCCTGGGAAACAGTGCCCGTCTGCGTGCCAGTGTGAGGAGGATGGCATCCTACTGCTCGTGGACTGTTCCGAACAAGGACTATCCAGTGTGCCAACCGACCTAAGTCCTTTGACGTCTTACCTGTGAGTACGCCCTCCTGCTTCCATCACCCACTTTGCTGAGACAGTAAGGGGCTGTGAATAGTTCTTGAGGGATGTTTGGTTTGATTACATTAAATATCTTCAAAAGGACGCTGAAAGATTATTGTTTTATGCCTGGATGAGGGGGTTGGAAGATATGAAAGGCTCTAGGTTAATAACAGGCTTAGTGGTTCTCAACTGGTTTTGCTTCGAGACCCAGAACTTGTATCACTCAAATATTAGTGATTATTCAGAGGTTAACAAAATTGACTATTAGAATTTGTTGATATTACCGTGAGCTACAAACATATGCAAAGTTATTAACAAGAGATAGACTGGCAATTTTGGTTTCATAAGGACTTGGGGTTTCATGCTCTCAGCGGTTGCACAAAACACATTTAGGACTTCATAAATCATATTTATGCTTAAGTGCACCTGTATTTAATGTAGTCTGTGGCATGTTTTCTTTTATCTTGAGTAGTTTGTTCGTGGTTTATTAGGATGAGTGCAAGTCAGGCTACCTGGTATTTTCTACTAAGTGACAGATGGATTTGCGCTAAAACGCCATTGTTTAATTGAGCGCATGACCTTCATGTTAACGAGAACCATATGGGAAGTGTTTTTCTCCTCTGTTTAATGCTTATATTTTAAATGATCGTTATTATTTATGCTATCCTAATTATGATAATGAAATTAGATGCATGGGGCAAATTTCCTGTGACCTTTTATTTCTGATCCCATTTAGGATGTATGACACATGTGATCTGTCTTGAGTGATCGGTGTTGATGTGCACCTTCAAACAGAACTGTAATACAAAACATGTGAAACTACGTTGACGCAAACGGGACACTTTCAGCGCGAGCGAACTGTACAGAATGCTTCGTTCCTTACCAAACGTGAAAAGCAATGCTTGGTTCCCATGTATCCTGTGACAGTTCTCAGTGCAGGGGTATCTGATGGGAACGTGTGTGTAGAGTGATGCAGTGGGGCGCTCCGTACAGTATTGGGTTTCTCCATGTCAGCTGGAAGCCTGTTGGGTTTAAGTCCATGCTAATCGCTAAGGCATGCCATATGTCCCCTGATTGTGAATGATGACGCAAAGGAGGACTCAAATGTTCGCTCATAAAACGTTGTGTAGCTCACGTGAATCAATAACTGGAGAGAGTTGTGTTTCAGGCTTCGGAGGAAGCGTAGCTCATTGGTTGGGAATTGGATTGCAAACACATGTACCACAACCTTTCAAACATATTGAAACGTCTTGAGCAGTGTCTCTAGACAGTTGCAAGTGCATAAGATTATATCTCTTTTTTTATTCTGCTAGTGTTATAAGGATTTTTATTGCGTTGTGCAATATATCGCATGACTTCATATGTAAAATTTTTGTCCATTTAGTACGTTTATTAAACACTGCAGCCAATTGTATTCATATAATGAGGATTTTAACGAAACTTTAATAGAATCTCACTAGTGTTCGATGAATAATCCGGCCAAACTGATTCTGCCAGGTCTTTCACAAATTTTCATAAAGTTATTGATTTTAAAGTTTCATTATGAGTCTGTGCAAATCAGACCAGCAATCTTTCACATGCAATGCCTCGTCTAACACTTTCTTTCTTCACCGGAGGAGAGCAGATTGATGTAAATATTGACTGAGCTTTGATGTGCGTGTCATTGTTGAGATGTCAAAGTGTGTGTTTAAGCATGATGGGGACCGTTCTGCAAGAAAGCTCTGTTCTACTGATGCCATTTACTCAAAGTGCTCATTCGTCGGCTGTCTTTTTTTATGCCAAACTTTTAGTCAAACCAAGAAAAAGTGTTTGCATTAGACATGTACAGAACATGCAACTGCTTTCCGATCTGATTTCTATTACTTATGCCCTGGCCTGTCGTTATTATTCCACTACAACTTCTGATCCCTGCACTGAAAACTCACCAAATTTTAAATGCATGACGTGTCTGTGGCCAGTTGTTACATTTTGACATTTTGCATTGCTGACATTTTAATTATGGGATGTATGGTTGCCTAGCAACCAGTGCTTAAATGAGCATTATTTAAAATATCAGCCCAGCAGCCCTATTTTACTGTAATTGTTTTGTCTTGCAATTATTAAAAAAATTTTTTAAATTGTATTTTCATGAACTGCTTTTCTAGTGGATCTGAGATCTTTTACACTTTAATATGCAAAGCAGTATTTAATAAATAAATAAATGTCATCTCTGCAAAAGCATCCTTACTCAATGGATTCAATTAATATTATACTTCTATTACTGCTTATTTGTCTATGGACATAACAAGCAGATACTATCATCACTATTTTATGCATGGTGGGTCTTGCTTAACATTAAATTTAGATTAAATAGTTTATAGAGCAAAAAGTAATGCACAAGTGGGAGCTGTGTGAACGTACTACTGAGAAAGCAGGCAGCAGCGCTGGACATTCTGCCAGTATTAAATGCCTGTCCTGTCTCGCTCTGCAGCAATCGCCCATATGGGGACAACAGGTGCCCTGAGGCGCGGAAAAAGTCTGTCACCAAGAGAGTCTGTTTTTGCACTGATTTTTGTTTGTTTCTGTTGGTTTCAACAGGAGTGGACGTTAGGTACATCAGATGAGGAAAAGTTAGAGATTGCTGTTTTGTACACTAACATGAATAACACTCGCATACACATTCCTAAACACACTGACTGCTGACTGATTTATATTTGTAGATACGGAAGATCTAAAAAGACTTTCAAACCTGTATGACTTTCTTTCTTCTGCAGATCACAAAAGAAGATATTTTAAAGAATGTTTTAACTGTTTTGTCTATACAATGAAAGTCAATGGGTCCTAACACAACATTGGGCCACACAGACTTTTGTTTAAAATTGTTTAAACATTTTCAAAATGTCTTCTTTTGTATTTCATGAGGTTGAGTAAAAGATGGAAATTGTCATTTTTCACCTTTCAGCCTCTTTTAATGACAAATTAATGTCTGTCTTTCAGTACAGATGCAGATAGAAGCTTTTTAGTCTTTCAGGAGATTAAAAGGCATTTTAGAACTATACAATATGTGCCATAGTTGACGATATTTCGTTTTTTAATAAATAAATACTCAAGTTCATATTTTTAAGTAGCACATTTAATCTAATAACAATATATTACAATCACATATATGACAGTTGGTTCTTATACACTGTATATTAGGAAATCAGTGGTGCTTTAAGGCAATATTTAAATAACTATAACTGTATTAAAATAAAGATTAAACCCTCAATTCAAAGAAAACACTGAAAATGTCTTTTAGAGCTGTACTGAAACCAGTTAGCATCAGGTTAGCTCAGCTGAAGATGAGTACAAGCATCAACCAGCTCAAACCTCAAAGCTGTCAGCCCATTCCCTGAAGCCAAGTCCCATATATTTTCATCTCTCTCAGGGCAATTTTCTACACAAACACAAATTAATGTTGAGCTTGAAGTGAGGGCTGCAGACACATGTTTTCGCTTACTGGCCCACCTCAACTTCCAGTGCTTTGGCCTTGAAACCTTTTAGAGTCAGAAACAAGAACAGAGCGAGTGTGTGAAAGATGCCTTCAAGTTCTGAAGTGTGTTGTGTTATCTGATTTGAGGGCCATAAATCTATTTGCGGCCCTTTTGGCCAGTGATTTATGTTTTATGGGTCAAACAGGACGAGTTAACACCTAAATCACTGTGTAACAAATATTACACAAAGCTGGAACAAATTTTATATACTCTTATCAATTATGTCACATAACCATGTAACAAATTTTTGTTTAGTTCAGTCAACACAAAATGCTGTTCGCAACCCATTTTACTAACATATTCATGAATAAATACAGCTATTAAATTAGAAAAAAATGACAGTAGATAATTTACAGGAAGTGTCTGTGGCCAGTTGTTGCATTTTGACATTTTGCATTGCTGACATTTTAATTATGGGATGTATGGTTGCCTAGCAACCAGTGCTTAAATGAACATTATTTAAAATATCAACCCAGCAGCCCTATTTTAATTATGTTTTGTCTTGCAATTATATAAAAAAAACTTGATTAAAAAAAAAAGTGCTTTCATGAACTGCTTTTCCAGTGGATCTAAGATCATTTGCACTTTAATATGCAAATCTAATAAATATCTTTAATAAATAAATGAATGGGTATATAAATATAGCTTTTTTTTGGATCAGAAATTAACATGTAAAACAATCATAACTGTCATCTCTGCAAAAGCAGAGTTTTTTATTGTATTTTCATTAACTGCTTTTCTAGTGGATCTGAGAGCGTTTCCATCTTAATATGCAAATCAGTAATTAATAAATAAATAAATAGGTGTTGATTTTTTTTTTGGAAAGGAATGCAAGATTCAAACTCGGGTCGCCAAAAGCGCTGCCCATTAGGCTATTGACTCCAACAGCTAAATATAATTTGATAAAAGACTAGTTTTTCTTTCTTTCTTTCTTTTTTTTAATTTTTATTTCATAGTGACTACTGTGTAAGTGCTGTTGAGAAAACAGATGTTAAATGTATGTTCAATTTTATCTAGCACCTAGTACCTAGTAGCTAACACACACAAGTTGCTACATGGTGCTCATACTGAGAAGAGAAGTTTGAATAGGGCTTGCATCATTTCCCGATCTCTTTCCTGACGCTTTGTTGCATCATTTAGTGTCCTCTCTCTATGCTGTCAATAAAAATGATAAAAACATTAGCGAAAAGTTTAGAAGAAGGCCTTCTCAGGATCAGGGCTCAGCTCTTCAGGGTTGTTTATGCACTTCTGAATCCTAGTGAATTCAACTCTGGCAGCCTACATCATTAAATGGCTCCGAGGGCTCTAATGTTCTCTCCGTTTAACCACCTAAGCTCTTCAATGAAACAGGGTGATAATGGTCTTTTCATCCTGGCAGTGGTGAACGCTTTGAGCTTTATAATGTGGTAAGTTTGTAGGCTGATCCCTCAGGGGGTGCTAGCAGACAAACTGCACGGACAATCACTCACAGCTTTGATGCTT